TCTCTCTCTCTCTCTCTCTCTCTCTCTCTCTCTCTCTCTCTCTCCTTTTTAAAATAAAGCAGCGATTCATTCCCTGTCCCCCTACCAGTCGCGGTCGGGTGGGGTGGGCAGGAGGCAGGCGACAAGGACTTTTTTTTTTCTTTTGCCTCAGCCTGCGGGTCCCCTCCCTGAATTCGGTGTCAGAAGGCTTTACTGATTAATATTTTGGACAGGCCGCGGCGGTCGGCAGCGGTGAGTTGCATCTTATAAAAAAGGGTTCCTATAGAAACCCGGGCTGTGGGGCTCTGCGGCCGAGTGCGCACCGCGCGCCCCTCCCCAAAGCCCCTTTTGGCGTGGGCGCCCCTCCTTTCCCCTCCACCACCACCCCCAAGAAAAACCAGAGCAGAAAAAAGGATTAGATCGGCGGAACGCGAGCTGAATCCCTCTCGGTTCTGACATTTCAGCCCTATTAGCATTTCTCCACGGGGCCTTCTGAAACCTATTAAGGTGTAATATTAAAAACCTCTTGGCTGGGGGCCTCTCTCGCCTTCCATCCGCCGCGCCCCCTCCAGGGAGGGCGAGACCGGGAAAGGGAAAAAAAAATCTGTTGAGCTCAGAGGAAGCAAGCCAAGCCCAAAAGTGCTTGGCTGGCCACGGCGGCCAGAGGGGGAGGGGCGCACCAATCCCCCAGACTTTGTACTTTATTTTGCTCTTTCAGCAAAATAAAAAAAAAAAAAAAACTTTCGGGGTTAAGTGGCCGGGAGCCGCCGACGGCAGATCTACCTGGTTGGGGACCCAGGGAGTGTGGTCCTCGCAGAAGGGACCGGTCCTAAAGGGTGGGGGACCCCCTGCACCCTCTCCGCAAGCCCCACAGGAGCCCGAGCCCAGCTAGGTATTACCTACCCTGGAAAGGAAGCTTGGAAAGGCAGAGAGCCTTGCAGATCCTGCCTGTAGAACAACCGTGGTTATAGGGTTTTAATTAAAACAAAAGAAGCCCGCTCTTTCGCCCTGCTCTGCGGACTCAGCGTTTTCCTACTGCTGCTATTTTTTTTTTTAAAAAAGAAAATCCATTTTTAAGGCAATTTTTGAGAGGTTTTTTTTTTTTTAATGAGCTAGTTAGCGCTCATCCGTTCTATTTTTCTTTTCTCCACTTTTAGAAAGAAAAAAAAAGAGGGAAGATTCGAGAGAGAGCTGGGGGTGTCTAATTTAATTCCAGGATAAATTTGAAGGGGAAAAAAAAAAATTCGGCCTCTTGAGAACAGTTTCAAGTTGCCCTTCCTGGAGCTTTCTGCGCTGGTTTCTAGGCTGCCCTCTTTTAGAAGCTGGAGCTCGGTGAGGGGAGGAGGGAGGAGTGAGAAGGAGAGAAAAGAACGAAAATAGCCGGAGCCGAGGGGAACTGAGCGGCGGTGTCCGGGCGCTCGGAGCTGGGCGAGCGGGTCTCAGTGGCAGCCAGGGGCGACCGGAGGCGACCGGTGCTGCCCGGGGACCGCCAGGAGTAAAGACGGAGAGAGGGGGGTTAGAGAAAGGAGGTATTGTGTCTATGTGCCTTAGGGGAGGGGGGAGTTGATTGCAAGAAATAAAATAAATGCTGTTAAGCTGCGAGGGCTGCTGGAAACAAGAGAGAAACGGGCTGAGGGGGTGGGGGGCGCCTAGTGCCCTTGAGTCTTATCCAGAGGCCTTTGTGGGTTCCCAGTTAAACCCTCCCACGCCTCAGTCGCTCGCTTTCCCCCACCCCCAACGCCCTCCAATATTCAGAGCGCAGGCCCTGCTCTCCCCCCAACCCCCTCATCCCTCTCGGGATCTAGAATGTTTTTCTTATTTTAATACAGCTCAAGAAAAAATATGTATCTTGAG